CTATTTACTGCAACAAAATTATTAGGAGTTTAAATTCATAGATTTAAATGAATAAATGGTGGGTTTCTTGGTTGATTCTTTTTCCTTGTTTACGTGCACCATTCAAAAAATTTTTTTCTTAATTGTTGATTTTTACTATGCAATTCATACTTTTCACGGGGAATAACAGAATCCATAACATTATTGTACCACTATACTTCATTCCTAATGTTCTTCCCGATGCGGTATAAATGCGAAAGAGCTCCTAAAAAAAACAGTAAAAGAAAAGAAAAATAAGTAAAATGGAAACAAAAAAAAAAAATTTTTTTTTTGCATATGAATTTCAAAGCGATTTCGTGCTTATTTTTTTAAATCCACACTCTTTTTTTTTACGCTTGGTCTTTTCCATTTCAAAAGAATTAAGAATTTTTGTTGTAATTTTTTTCTTATTTTTTTTTTATTTTTCGGCCCTCATTTTACGCTTATAACCAAAGTCAGTGTATATAGGGCCATCTGGTGCAAATAATGGTAATTCTGAATGGTAGTGGTGATGGTTATTATTGGAATTTTTGTTAAATAAAAATAAAAAAAAAATTAAAATAATGAGTAAATAAAAAAAAAACAAAAAAAATATTTTACAGCTTTATTATGATGAAAGAACGAATCTTACACTTTAGGGGGTGTGCTTCTAATATAGGTAATAAAAAGGTACATAAAACAAAATAGATGTACAAAATTAAGTATCGCGTTTAATTTAGGTTTTGCTCGATTTTTGAAGGAAAACAAAACTTCATGTAGGCTACTTATAATATATAAACGGTAGGTCGAACTTTTGTGTCACATTTATTTATAATAAATGGCGGACTTTTTTACAAACAATTTTGGGCTTTCAGTATTTCAGGTCTTAAAGTTAGAAAAGTGCAAATTTTCATATTCAAATTAAGAACTGAGGTAGATATGAAATTTTTAGTTTTGTAATTACAGTTTGATTAAAAAATCAATTCTAGCACGTCTTATAGCAACTAAACTATTGAATCAGTGCAAACCGATTACGTTACCTAAAAATTGCAACCAGTTTAAAAAAAATACAAATTATTTGATTGATTAATTGTATGAGATTATAGAGTTGCGTTCGTGCTTGCTTGAATATAAACTTATTGAGCTCAATTAAGATTCAAACAGTTGCAAAAATTATTGTATGTCTGCCGGAGCCGTAAATATTACGAGCTGTAAATGCTTTACCATCCTAAATTTAAGAACTGAGATATTTGAATAACTTCTATAGTTCTTGAAATTAATATTGAAAAGACCTTTAGGACCTCTACATTTTAATTAAAGAGGGTTTTTTTTTCAATTCTGAGTTACTTACCAGTTAAATAAATACGAGTATCATCTGCAAAGATAATCAAGTTAGGAATATAAGCAGTTTAAAATATAATGTTCTTTCATTTTACGCAGAATCTAGAAATTAAAATAAGCATAATTAATAAAATTAAGAAAATTTTGTAAGGCTTGGAAAATATTTATTATGATCTCTATTACGATTTCTTTAAATTTTGAGAAATGTAGTTCAAAAACTTTGTAATATCGAAAAGCAAAAATTACTGATTTGTGAAATGTCGAGAAATTTACGTAGTGTAGCCCAATTCTCTCGTATATTCAATATTTTTTTCATCCCTGCGTATTTTTGGTGCGAACCAGAATTTTTTTTTTTTTTAATTATTTATCGCAAAATCATTTCATTGCGGTTTTCCTTATTCAACATATTTGCTGCTTCTCATTTTCTATGTTCATTCCATATAATATATAATTACATACATACATATACATACATAGTAAGTGTATGCCTTTCAATCCATACGTACGTATTTCTGTTCCGGAGTGGTCAGGTGCAACTTTTCTCTAATACTAAACACAGTAGTGTGGGTAAAGGAAGTTTGGAGATTTAATTTTGTTTTTTTTCTTTTCAACTTGAAATATGCCAATAATAACTTTTCGGATTATCTTCTTAAAAATAAAAAAAAACGCAAAAACAAAAAAAAATTATTAAGGAAAGCGTTTCTCCCACAAGAGTGGGGTTTTCGGAGAAAAAAAAACCATAATTTTTTTGTATTATTTCAGTAAAGTAATAAAATATTGTATGGTTTTTAAGAGAGGATAATTATACTCAGACGCAGAAGTGGTATTTGGATTAAATACCTCAATGAGAAGCACAAGTATAAAGGAGAAAGAAAAAAAAAGTGCAGAAGGATAGCTAGCATAAATTATGGATTTTAAAATACGAGTAATAGCAACAGGCAGGTAAAACGAACCACACAACAGTGAATCTCAGAACCAACCTTATTAAGCAAACCTAAAAAAAAAAACTCATTTCATTATTTTTTATTTTAATTTTCTTTGTTTTATGCTTATTTTTAGCACCCAATAATTAATTTGCCCACCTTTTTTAATAATTTTCAAACAGCATAATTTTAACAAACGATAGAAGGAGATGAGCGAGATTTAGTTTTTTTTTTTATATTTAATTTTATTAAATGGTTAAGAATTATGGCGATACAAAGTATAAATTAGGGATGAAAAATTACTTAGAAATAAATTGAACCGAAACGAAAAAAAAAAGTTTAAAAATCAGAGAAAATTTGAGAATAGATGAGAGCAATTTTTCATAATTTAAATTTATACTTTTTTTTTTTTACTTTTATGTGCAAATTGGCAGTAAAGATTTAAGTAGGATTAAGTGAAGGTTATTTAAATTAATAAAATTATGAAAGAAACAGGAAACAAAATTTTTTTTTTCATTATTAAAATTCTTTTCTGAGTTAATTATCAGTAAAAATGAGATTATTTTTAATAATATTAAATTTTGTATAGAATTTTTATTAAATTACTTAGTTTTAATATTATTAAACCTGGAAAATTCTGAAATTTTGCAAGTTTAATCAAAAATTAGAATGTTTAAATCAATTCATATTTGAATTACTTATATTTACTAAAAGACTTTAAGGGTCAAATTTCATATAATCGTTAAACTACTATTTCATTCACTTACTTCTAGAAGTGAGAATTTCAAAATCATCAAGAAATTTTTATGCATTCTTGAACACACTAACAATAATTTAATTTTGAAATAATAAAATCACACGTACCAATATTACGTATATTCTATAAGTACAAGATGGCCCGGAAGCTGGAACTAATTCTATAAGTGTTCGATTCCCTAGAGTTTTTTTTTTTGGCGAATAAATTTTTAAAGTTCAAAAACATCAAATTGAAAAAATTCTTTCTTATAAATAGCCATAACAGTTTTGGAAAATGCAGAAACTGTTGAAATTGAAATCGAAAATGCAAATGCATTGTTCGCAATTTTTTTTCTCACTAAATAGACCCACAGTATATAACGATAGGGCCACAATAATTATTTTCAGATTTACCGTTTTGAAATAATGACCGTCTAAACATGGCTATTTGGAACCAGAAAAAATGAAAATTTTTCAAAAAACAATAATTTACTAATTGGGTTTTCTACTAATTGAGGTTATGGCTACAAAAGCAGAAAAAAATTTTACGCTATCGATTTGACAGAAGATTTTTTACAATTATACTAGCAAAAAAGGAATGGTTTTTGAAGCAAGTTACAAAATGGTGCTGTCATTGCATATCTTTTCTAGAACTGCAAACTGAAAAAATTTTTAGTTTTTTAAATTATTAAACCGAAATTAAATTCTCAGACGTTTGACATTCCAAAAAAAAAATAACTCCAAAAGAGCCTCAAAAGAGTTCCGTATCATCCTGTGCATATTTAATTAAAATAGCGTATGTATTGTAAAGAAGTATCACAAGCAGGAGATTAAAAACGTGATGAATTTAATGTCATTTTGTTAAAATTAAAAATTTAAGCTTTCATTCAATATTTAAAATATAAGAGATACAGAAACTGCAACAAAAGCAAGCAAAACAAATAACATTATTGTATTGGTTACATTCAGTTTGATAAAAGCTGAAATCTACAACCTGTTGTTACTCAAATTCGTAAATGATTTATGTAAATGACGATTTGAATCAATAAAAACGTAATATTATTATTGCTTTAAAATTGATATTATAGAAAATTGAATTAAAACGAGAAAAAACAGAGTTGAATGTGTCATCTCTGTGATACCCGTACAAAATTTATTATTCTATGTGCGAGTAAATATGATATAGCTAACTATGAGACAGACTATGACTTTAAGTTGCCGTTTTTGCCGTATTTACCATTTTTATTACCGTTATTTCAATATTTTTTAAAATATGGTCAAACTAATACTGAAGTTATATGGCAGCTACCAGAAAAAGTCAAAAAATTTCAACGATTTTTATTGCACATAACAACTCTAATAATATACTTGTTTCCACGAAATTTCTATATTAACTCCAATAATTTCTGAGATAATGCCAAATAACCTTTGGAGTTGTATCGCACCTATCACGAGACAAAGTTAAATCGACTCAGAATTTGACGCTGATCCAAAACAAATACTTGAGCCAATATCTCAGACCGTTATTTCTTAGCGTTACAAACGGTAAGGCAAATTTAGTATACCCATTTGAATATAAGATCGTAAGGGTAATTTATACCCATACGAACTTATATACAACATATAAATTTCTTGGAATAATAAGCTTTAAAAAATTATAAAAATAACTGTTTAACTATACATATATTATAATTCAAGTACTCGTACTGTTATAATATTAGTAACTACTCATTAATATTAGTAAAAACTCTTTTCATTCAACACCATAGAAAAGAAGCTTTTTCATTTAGTTTGAAAAATTTGCCCTTCGCATTGAAACGAAGCTGTCTCTTTTGTTTTGTGATGATGCGAATCAATAATTCATAGTTGATAAGAAATAAATATACAAATAAACAAATCAAATCATAATCTCAGAAATAAAAATTTAAATTTTAAAATTGTTACTTCAATTACAAGTACATGATTGACTGAATATAGTTTAAGTAATAAATTTCTTTTGAAAAAATGAAAGAAATACGATATTTGAGTTACATTTTAGTAATCTTTACAACACAAATTAATAATAGAGAAATAATAGCAAAGGATTGTGATCTCATCAAGTTTCGCTATATTGAGCGGAAAGTGTTTTGCGAAACAGAAAATGGTGTAACAACATCATGTCTAGGAGCTCCGTTTCCAGTTAAAAGAGCGTATATTCAATGTTCTAATAAATATCATAACTTTAAAAATATATCTTCATTAACTATTGACTGTCAAGATAATGGTGAATGGACTGATGAAATATTTGATTGCTTACCAGAATGTGATGACACCAATATATCGTTCAAAATATTAAATAATACCAATGAAGAATATCCTCCATGGTATGCTGAGGTAATTCATTTAGATGTTTTAGGAAACGTAAAACAAATTTACCCTGGCATTATTTTAGCAGAAAGATATGTTTTTGCAGAGTTAGATTATAATTTGAAAAAAGTTTCTCATGTTAATAATTATAGAATACGAATTCCCAGATTAAAATATAAACAACCCAAAGAATACAAGATACGATATTGGAACGATGGAACACATTCTGATTCATTATACGTATCATTTCTAAATAAAACTGAAGATGAGCTTATTGAAATTGCTTCACTAATGCATGTAGATAGGCTTGATTATATAAAATTTGATGATGTAACATTACCTGCTTGCGACGAAATAAATCCCCCAAAAGCGAAAGGAACCTTAAAACTTTTGGATTTTAAAAAACGTCTTAAACATATCTGGTATAAAAATAAAGTCGATTTTTTGTTTTTATTTTTACTTAACAATTTTTTTAATTTTTAAGGTTTTCCGAAAGATATTTTCCGCTTTATGAAAAAAATTGTTTCTTACCAAAACTGGATAATACCAAAATGGAAGCGGCATGTTTTAAAACGTCAGGTGAGCCAACGGAATGTATTCGTAGGGCAGATTGGATTGTAACAAGATGTCGAATTGGTTATCAACAGAGAAATACACCGTTAGGTGATTTTATAGCTCAATGTGAATCACTTAATAGTTGGGATTACTATTTCGGAGAAGATAATGATTGTGATTTAGTATGTGGTGAAATTGATAAAAATTATAGACCTAGACAAAGAACCTTAATACACGGAGGTAGTGAAACTCATAATGGATTTGCTCCATGGCATGTTGCCGTTTATTTTAATGATACAAGGAGGCGAACAATAAAACAAATATGTGGTGGTAGTATTATTCATTCTAATATAGTTCTATCAGCCGCACATTGTTTTTACAATATTGGAGCAGGTAAACTAAATGATGCTTCAAATTACTTAATAGCAGCAGGAAAATATTATCGTAAATACGAAACTTCTGAAGAATCAGAACATTATGCAAAAATAGAAGAAATACATATTCCCGAAAAGTAAGTAAAAATCAAATTTTGTTTCAGTCATACTTTTAGTTAACCGATAACGAACTTTTAGTTAAAGCGATTCTTTTCAATTCAATAAGAAACTTTTTTTAATTACTTTATAGTTTTGAAGCATTTCCACTCAGAAATGATATAGCAGTTTTGGAACTTGATCATCACATTGAGTTTTCGTCAGTTATTAAACCAATATGTATTGATTTTAGTTCAACTCAAATTCCTAGTAATCTAAATGGATATTTCGTTGGATGGGGTGCTACATCTATGGATGATGAGCAAAGTAATGAACTATTATCAGCTAATCTTACAACTTTAACAAACGAAAAGTGCAAAGTTGAAGTTGGCCCAAGAGATAAATCTGATATTACACCAGAAAAATTCTGTGCAATAAATGATAAACGTTCAGCTGCCTGTCAAGGTGATAGTGGAGGTGGATATGTTGTAAAAAAATATACGGGTTTTAGGGACCGATATTTTTTGCTTGGAATTATTAGTCTGGGACTTGGTGCCAATAATTATTGTTCTGATGGTTTTACCACAGTATTTACAAATGTACTTCTTTATAAAACTTTTATTGAAAATGTAACATCAAACGCTAGAAGTTTGAAATTTATTAGAAAATATGCCAATAATAACATGCGATATGAACTCTGAAGAAAAATTATAATATATCACAAATCGATCGAAAATTGAAATTGTAATTTAAATATTGTATTTTTTTTTTTTTTGCTGAACTAATTCGATCTTCTGAAAATAACGCATTTAATTTTAAATAAAATGGATCAAACATCGTACATAAATGTATCATCACACAAGTCTGTTACGCATAAAAACCTACATTTACATTATTGGCTGGTTGACCGCCAAATCGATTGAATGTTTTTATTCTGTCATTTTGAAATATGCTTAAAATAGTAATGAAATGGTAAATTATTAATTTGGGCAAAAATATATAGATGCAGAACGCAAGATATTGCAAAATAATTTAAAAATTTTTCAATAACTAAATTTACCACAAACATGATACTTTTGTGAATAGTTTTTAGTTGTTTAGAAATATTAGAAGTAAAATAGCAGTACAGCACCTACACCTAGAGAACCTGGCTTAATGGCCACGTTTTCTATTGAATTTTCATTTTTTTCCTTTCTGCTCTTTAAAGTTGGTTTTTAGTTCTTTTTGATACTACATATTAATGTAATGTTGTTTTAATATGTAAATATGTTTAGAAATAAGTATGTCAATAAAATTAAAATTTTTAATTTACTACTACAAAATCTTATTTATTGGATCTGCTTAATGAGAAAAAACTATGAAATTGTGATACAAGCAGCACAGCACGTTCTATTTTATTCAGTCATTGTTGTACATAAATTACATACCAAAATACCTAATGACTCATTCAAAATTCCTAAATATTCGCTATTATCTTAATAAGGTAATATGTAAAATGTAGCAATATTAATAAATTGTATTAGGTTGAAAATTTTTCTAGAAAAGTGATAGAATAGAAAACTTTCTAAATAGAGCAAAAAGCTCCAAATAGAATTTGTTGAAATAATACGTTTTACATATAAAACTTTACATATTGCTAAAAATATCAATTTACTATGGTCACAAAACAGTATTTTAATCGTGAGTATAAAGCAGAAACGAAGCTTTCGTTCTGTTTGAATTCCGTTTGAAAAATGTATTATGTAAATTTACTACAAACTTATGTTGAGAAAACTTAAAAGTCATAGTTTAGAGCTGATAGTACTAATCAGAGAGCAATGAAAATAAAAAAAAAAAAACAGCTGAGACTCTAACTACAAAGTAATTATAAAAGCGATAGGTATATAAATAAGTTGATTAAGTCTAGTTAAAAATATTTTTGCTAAGAAAGCTTGGACTATAAAAAAAATCTAGTATTTGCATTATATTATATTACTTAGTAATAGTGATCAATGATGCATCTCTAAATTTTATTGTATTGAATTTTTGAGAGTAACAGCTTGTCTTTGTCAACACTATGTTTAGTATAATCATTCCCAATTAAAAGACGGCGTATTGAAATATAAAATTTTTAATGGTAGATACTGACACAGATTTTACTCTATAGTATGCCGAAATATAGTAGAAATAAATTCAAATGAGAATATAAGACAAAATTTTCCTAAAATAAACCATAAACTCCAACTTATATAAAGGTATATGAGTTCAAATATGGTGATGTATTTTTGGATACTTGTACAAATGCATAAACATATGTTGTAATATAACTGCTAATATTAATTTTTAAGCAATATTTTTCTTATTAATTATATAAAAAATATTTTATTTTTATTTAACTTTCATCTTTATTTATCTTGATGAGTTTTCTTGCGAGAATTTAGAAAGTAAATACCACGAGAATAAAAAAACCACATAAAAATTAAATTATTATCCTTTATGCGAGTAACTTATTTATTTTTGAAGGCACTTAATATTATCCTTAAAGCGAGCATCAAATTAATATCTTAACATTTTAATGTATTAGATGAGATGTGTAAATTTAAGGAGTAAAAACTTTTACCTTGTCAGTAGCGTATTATCGACACTTCATTAACGACAGACATTGACAGCGCAAATAATCACTTTGTTTATCTAAGTTTCTCAACAGACTCTTACGAGTATATGTATAATTTATGAACATAATCAATGTATAATAACTATATGGCATGTACTTGTATATATTATACATATAAATAATGTATATGTAGTTTTTAGCACTTTTCCAAAAATTTTTTGAAAAAAAGTCCGTCCGTCCGTCCGTCCGCCCGTCCGTCCGTCCGTCCGTCCGTCCGTCCGTCCGTCCGTCCGTCCGTCTGTCCGTCCGTCCGTCCGTCCGTCTGTCCGTCTGTCCGTGTGTCCGTGTGTCTGTTTACAAAACTTCTACACCCTTGAAGATAGAAAGCTGAAATTTTATATGTACATAGATCTTTACTAGAAACTTATTTCTGTAGAACAAAATTTTTACCTATCTCCTCTCCTCTAGAAGTTATACCCCCCCAAAACCCTAAAAATGGCCTTTTTTAACTATTTGTTGCAATGAAACCATAAGCATTTTTGAAATTTTGCAAACGCAGAAAAGCAGCGGCTTGCTTCCCCTAGCGCGGCATACTATATTTGAACTTTAGAAAAACAAAATGGCCGTTCAAATTTACCGTTATCTAAAGTCCTTTTTTTGCAAATTTTTGATGTCGTTTTTTTTCCAAACTACAGCCTGTAGAAGCTTGAAATTTTAGGAGCTTTTAGACATTATCAAATAGTTCATTTCGCTAGAAGAAAATTTTTTTCCATCTCCACCCCCTCTCAAGTTATCGCCTCTTGAAATTTGTAAAATTTGAATTTTTGACACCTTATATTTCCGAAACCGCAAGCTTTTTCAAATTTCTATTAACGCAAAAAGTTAACGGTAAATTCCATGAAATTAAAAAATATAATTATTTTTCTTAACTCACAAAATTAAACCTTAAAATCGAGCATTATGTTAACCCCACTTTATATTAATTTTTGCTTTATTTCAAAGACTGCATAAATCATTCATCCTAAATATATGCAACCCTAGAAATAGTTTTGTATATGAATCAAAATAATTTTAATAGTGTGACAGGTACATAGACTACATAGACTGTATTTAAAAGCAAAATTTTCATTTGTTGAAGGAAAAAGTGCTACAATACAAACCATTGGTTTGACCCAACTTTATTTGTTCATTTAAATAGTTTTACAATTTGGCAAAGATCCAATGTGCTCAATAAGAGTTTTTAATAAAGAAAATTTGTATACCTATCTGAAAATTTGTCTACATATGTATGTATATTAATCTTAATGATTTTCTTAAATTACAAAATTTTAAAGAAATTAAATTAATTTTATTGTTAAAAGTTTTAGTGAAAATATTCTACATAATCGGATATTCTTACAGATCTGTTAGAACCAATAATTATTAAAATTTTAAGAAATGATTAACAGAAGGGCTAATACTTTACCTCGGTACCTTGTTTTCGGAGGAATTCGGAGCTAATCTTTCGGAGGAATTCGGACACAAGATGTGTAATGTGTTATGACCCCTATACCTTGTAATATTAATTACGACTTTTTGAGTTTGTCATAGTGCCAATTAACCTTAAATTGCTATTCAAAATAAAAATTTAAATTATGATTGCGGTAATTTTAATATTCGAATGGAAGAATGAGCCTTATTCATCTTAATTTTAATAAAGGTAATCAAGTAGAAATTCCTTAATTAACAATTTAGTAATTTTTGTAAAACAAATCTGCGTTACAAAATTTAATAAACTCGTAATCAAAAAATAAAATTGTAAGCGAATGAATGACTGTAATTTATTTGCTTGTAAGAATCATTTTTAATTGTTATATTTAAGCACCATTATAGCTTTGATGCTAATCCAAAAATTTTTTTTTATAATTTGGATTACGTTGTACAATTTGAAAGTAAATTCTTTTAATACTGCAGTTTTATTAATTTTTTGCTTTATATTTTAGTCTTTTGTTCATTTCTATTGCTGTTGCTCCATTATTCCCTTATATATTTTTATTATTTTAAACTTGTCATAAAAATTTTTATATTCGAAAAAATTATAATATTCTTAAAATTATTTTATTTTTAAATATTAAAATTGTTGCTATTATTTTGCTACAGGATGTGTTTTCAGTTTCAAATTATATTCTATGCGGATTTTATAATATCAAAACTATGACTTGTTAAAGTATATGTAAATTTTCAGAAAAGAATAGCAACAAAAGGGCCACTTAAGCTTTGGCCCACTCTACTATTGTGGTTAAGAGTGCAGAGTCGTAGTGCCTGTTGTAGTATAACGCACTTCTTGATAATCATACAGGTAGAGTACTGATAACTGGGTGTCTTTCGAATACGGTACGATTGAAAAAAATATACTTGAGTCTATATCTCAAACGAAAATGGTCTGAGATATAGACTCAATTATGTTTTTGTCTATATGTTTTGTCTCAAGTATGTGTATATATATTTTTGATCAGCGTCAAATTTTGAGCGGATTTAGTTTTGTATGCCCACCTGTTCGTCCGTCAAAAAATAAACACTGAAGAGTGTGTAAGTGGATTTCTGGTGTTTGTGACTCAAAATTTCGAGATAATCTGAGATCTGGATATTGCAAGAAACTACCACATACGATATAAGGTAAAATATCTGCTCTAGATAAAAATAAATTCTTGTCATTCAGATAGCACTACATCAGATCCAGATCAAACTTGATCTGGAATCGAAACTTTAAGTAACGGAGAATAGAATAAAAGACAGCGCTAAGATTAGCTATCAGAAAATTTTATCTCAATTAAATTGAAAAACAATTGAAATATGTCAGTTTTTCGTTAAAACTAGTTTATAACAACTAAAAATATTTCATCAAAATTTTTTTAAAATTGTTATCACAAAGTTTTTTGGTTACGGTTTAAATTAGCTGTCGAGAAAACCTGTTTTGAATCGCGAAATTATTAGTTTCTTTTGAGAAAACAATTTGAAATGTTTCGTATCATCCAAATGTTCAAAGGTTATTTCTCGTCAATATCCAAACAGCTATATTTCGCTCCTACTTGGGAATCGAATGATTATAAAAGACTTTACAGTCTCTTTTTCCTGTATGAAGATATTAGTAATATTAAACGATCTACTTGGATCGTATGATTATAAGAGACAGTTCCTTTTTCCTGTATGGAGAGATTAGTTGCATTAATCTGCATCACTTCCCCTACACCAATTTTGTTAAGTGTCTTCAATATGTTTGTAGTAAAATGTCTCAAAATCATAGGACACCCATTCCATATCAAAAATCTTCCATTTTAATTTAGTAGTGGATAAAAGCATAAAAATTTAAATTATATCCAAAAATAATTGCTTTAATTTTAAATCTAAAAGAGAAGGTGAACTTTTTCCTTTATTATTATTATTGTTATTGTCATTAAAGTATAGTAGTAAAATTGCAAAAAATTCATCAGTTTATTTTCAACACCTTTTATCATTTTAATCTAAAGTATCACATACAATAAAGTTTTCTTCTTGTTTTTTCGAAATTTAAAGTTGAACTGACCTGAATTTAATTCAAATTTTTTTAATAATATTGTAAAACAAAAGGCGAAAAAATGAAAGATAAAATTTACTGCATTTTTATCACTTGGACGAAGAATTAATTTTAATCCAGTTTTGTAAAGAATATTTTAAAAATGGTTGTATAATAACCTCGTCG